TTCAGGGTAAGTGGCATGAGGACTGTGGAATCAGAAGTTCTTAATAGAAAGACCCAAATGATAATGTTTGAACTTAGAGGAAAAGAACAACAAAAAACCCTGAAAAATAGATCTGTTGTTGTGATACATGAGAGCGAGAGCTTCCATTATCCAGCGACTCATTTTTTTTTTGACAGCAGCTGAATTTTCTGAAATCCCTTTTATGTTCTACAAAGATTAAGCACATTATAAATGTCAAAACAAGATTAGGAAACCCCCTTTCAAGTGTCAAAATGACCACTCAGAATAAAAGAAAGATCTGCACAGCTCAGGGCTGTAAAGAACACCATTAAATGATGATGTTATATAGTGAAAAATCCTGGGGAGTCATGCTAATCACTAAAATACCAGCCCGTACTTACTAAAAGACTGATTTGGGAAAATGTGGAAGCTGAGGTTCTGTAATTTTAAACTTATAAGCCAAGTCAGTAACACATGTTAGAGTAACTGTAATACATGCAAAATTTCAGAAAGAAGTGACTATCTTAGTCTGTTTTTGTTCAGTTTTGAAGATGTAACTAATAAGTAATATTTCCTCCTTACTTTCCCTTGGCCTTAACATAATTTTATTCCTTATGTGGATTTAACTGCATTTTAATTCTCTTAACTGGTATACAAAACAGTAAGTTGTACATATTATATGGCATATCAAGTAGTGTTTGAGGTTTAAGTAAAGTTAATCATATTTATTTCCTCAAACATTTATCATTTCTCTGTGGTGCAAACTTTCAAAACTTCTTTCTTCCAGCATTTTGAAGTGTACACTACATAACTATCCGTAGTCATCAAACCATGAAATAGCCCCCCAGGGCTTAATTGCATTTTAAAGAGAAAGGTGCTGGCAAAGCTTCTTAAAGTTGCATTAGTATTTTTTCCCAAAAGGCTGGGATGATATATCCAAGTGCTTAAAATGAAATGACACCCATGTAATTCCTGCTTCTCTAAGATGGGAATGGCTTTATGCTCAGCACTGCTGTGTGCCCTCGTGGTGGCATCATGCTTGTCATGCTTCAGAATCATGCAACTCAAAAATTTTAAAACATAGTTACAATGTCACAGCTACACATTGGTCAGAAAATGTCATATGACTTTGTGATGTTCTCTAGAGATTTAGGAGAGAGAATTAGGAAGAAGAAACCAAAGCTTTAAGACAATGATAAGCGGAATTGTATTATCACATGCATTTCATGGGAAAAATGAGGTGAGGCAGTAATTCATGATTTGATTACCATTCCCAGTGCAATTATGCACAGCTTCTCAGATTTTCCTTCATGAAGCACCCCAAAAGAGGTGTGATTCCAATCTAGATAAAATGTCTTGTATAGTTTCAGGGATGATACCACTGCTGCTCTGGTCACACTAAAAGCAAGTACTGATCAGTCCAAAGAAAGCTATAAAACACTGCACCTTAGTCCTCTACTCATTAAATAGCAACAATGAAGTTATGATTGGCATACAGGTATTTTAAGTTAATTAAACCACTTCTGCTAGCAGATTCATTTCTTCCCAAAATATTATTAAACTATTGAAGGGAGGTATAATATAGAACAGCATCAAATTGGAAGACAGCATTTTCTCTTTGCATGCCTTTGTGTTTTTGTGAGAACACTTTTATGTTCATATTTTATAGCTTTATTTCCTTTAAAACTGCTGTAAATACTGGTAGGTAGAAAAGAACTTTGGCTAATTTTCATTTTCTTTTGGCCTTTGGTAAACAGAAATAACTATTAATTTTTAAAAATGAGGAAATACCTGTGTAAACTGAAAAGGCAAGTTCTTCCTGTTCTACTTAGTCAATGAGTACCAGGTCTGTGGGACTAGGATCCATTTTTGCATTACGAGAGAGTGATATCAGAAGCCACTCATGACCACGTGACATTTTGTAGGAACACCACTGTTGCAGGAGTGTTGACACCAGCTCTGAGGTCCACACATGCCAAGAAAGTCTGCAAACACACGTCACAAAAGCAGTCGCTCTTTGGAAAGTGCTTCTGTCTGGGTCCTCAGGAGGAGGGAAGACGTGTGGAGGTGCATCACGCTGCAGATCAGGTGCAGATGTCGCCCTGCATATTGTGAATTTTGACAGCAATGCTAGCTGATTACAAAACTATACTAACATTTCTGGAATTTTAATTAATGTCTCCAGGGAAATGTTATGAAGCTCTATGCTAGTTGCTGTCCAATTTCACAAGATTTTACACACACACAAATATACATATATACATGTATGTATATATTTATATTTAAAGACTAAGTTCCAGTGAATATTGCAAAATTACCAGTTGGTTAAAAAACACATTAGTGCAAAATATCCCATACATTGATACAGAAATGAAGCAACCTAAAGTAAAAAACTTAAAGTATCAATATTTTTATAATCTAATATTTAATATTGATTATAAATAATTAAATTATAACGAGAGATTTAAGTCAGTAACTATAAGATTTGGAGATGAGACTTAACCAAACTTTCTAGGCCAATACTATAAATACATTAAATTTGAAACAGTGTAGCTTTGGCATAGGTCACCAATCAGAAAAAGATGTTCATTTATGAAGAAACTTTGTCTATCCTTGGTTTTGAATCTTTGAGGGTTTCTTCTGGGCATCTGGTTCAATATCCGTCCTTGACCAACCTGAATGGCTCACTTAGTTAGCTTGGTTTACTGCAAGGAAATTATCCACTCTGTGAGGGTATGTGATTGCAGGGAAGCTCTGTCTTGAGATACTGCTTGGTCCCAGACAATGGCCAGGGTTTCAAACTGTAATTGATTATTCAGTAACTGTCTAGAGAAAGAAGATAGAGTCAAGAAAAAAACTTGCATGTCTTCTGGGACTGTTTATCTTGAATGGTCTAACACTTGAGGGACATATGAAAGGTATAATTATGAAGGATGACAATACTCTGGGTTTATGTATATCAAGCTGAATGCCAGGTGTGGTGACACATATCTATAATCCCAGTACTGAAGAGGCTTAGACAGGAGGATCATGAGTTTGAGCTCAGCCTGGGCTACATAGAGAGACCCCCACCTCAATAAAACAAAAGCAAAGGATATAACTCCATGGTAACACACTTGCCTGGTATGCACAAGGCCCTAAGTTTGATCCCCAGCACCACAAAAATGAACAAACAAACAAATCTGTTAAGAACACATTATTTTGGTATTCAGCAAGTCAATCATTTATTTCTTTACCTGGGCCATAACCATAACTTCATATCTTTTAAACACAATGTTCATACAGCTCATAAATTTTAGATTATACCTTTCTTGATTATTGATCTTATGTTTTATAATTTTCTGGAAAACTGGGTCATTCTGCTTACATTATTCTTCATGTCCAACACATAGAGATAAATACATAAAGATAAAATTGCATGTTGAGTGTTTACCATGACATTCTCTGTTTTTCACTCAATTTATTCCTTTAAAAATAAAGCCTATTACCTCTTCATATCCTGCTCAAAATATATTATTATCTTTTAATAGAAAACTATTTTTAAAAAGTATTCCAAATTACCACAATACAGACTGAAAAGGCAACAAAGAAATGATTGGAGACTTTCTCCCTGTAGCAGCAAAAATTAAAGCTTTGAAACCAAAAGGCAAATGTTTGAAAAGGTAAATACACTCTTCAAGTTACCAATAAATGAATTTCAACAAAACACGATTCCCTCTAGTCTTACCACTTCATATATATATATTTCTCCCCACCCAGTCACCATTCCTCCAAGGCTTCCAGAGGAGAGAAACTCATTTCTAGCCCCAGGACAAAACATTAGCTCAAATCAATGCTTTGGGAACTGAGGTTGGCCCATGAGTAGGTAAGTTTCTTAAGCTGGAAAATGGAAATGAACAGAAGAACTTTTATTTGATGGTAGAAGGAAAAGATTCTTTCTTTCTGCTATGGAACAGCAAAGAACCAGGATATCTTTCAACTCAGAACCAAAAACATTTAAGGCTGATGCTGAGCAGAACCTGTTACTAGAAGCCTCTCTGTCTTCTCCTGCAATTCTGCTATGAATGCAGGTTTTTCCAGGGAGATGGAGAGCTTGCTGACATAGACAGATAGCAGAACACTCAACAGATCAATGTGCTGCTTACAGTGGGCCATGACAACACATGGGAGTTCCAGGATCGTTTGAGGAGGACCATAATGGAGCTGTACAATATACACATGTGTGCATGGATTATGATATTTGATTTAGAAAATTCTGATAAGGACTCACTGCCATTCTGTCTGGTCTCTGTGATAGTTGCTACCCACTTCAATGAATATTAAAATGGATTAAATGAACCACTGCTTCATTTTAATTTGAGGAACATTTGGTTATGTCATTATTTACCATCATTTATTGTCATGATATTTCCACATATCAAAATACTTTATTACATATAGAGCTGGACATATAATTCATAATTGTATAGTATAGAAAATAAACTTTTTGGTACTGTCCTCAGCATTTAGTAATGCAAAAGTAGTGACAAACATCTTTAGAAAAAATAATAAAATAATTCTTTAGTATTGAATTTCTTATTAAAAATATTAGATCAAAGTTAAGAATATGACATAGAATTAATGCATAGATGATTTAGACATGAATAAAATGGGTCACCCTGGGTTTATTAACAAATCAAAATACTTGAAATCCCATCTTGCATAATAAACTCAAAATATTTGAAATCTGAAGGTCACAGTTAGTCATGGGTCATTTGCAAAAACAATGCATCCAGACTTTTTTATTATCTGCAGATTTGGATGATGTAACATTTGAAGTAACCCAGGATATAAGCAATGTACTGCATACTCACCAGGTGACTTTTATGCCACTTTGCTGAATGCAGGAGTCAAATATTTGGGCTTTTTATTGCTTGAGTAGAAAGTGCTCAAAACTTATCATTCTATGTTTATAATATAGAAAATAAAAAAAACAACAGAAGTTTATAGATTGGCATACATCACACTGTGGTGGTGGTGGATTTTCTCAAGATGGTCTTCTGTGGTTTTGGTGCAGTGGGTGGAGGCACAGTTGCAGGTCTGAGAGGGGGGAAGCTGTCACTGTGGCTGACTCCCAGTCCTCCATTTTCTAGGGGAACAAGAGGGCCATGGGGTGGAGGAGGAAGAGGAGGGCCAAGGCGGGGAGCCCTTCCTGGTGGGTGGACAGTCTCACTATGTAGATGGGCCTCCCTGTTCCTCGTGCTATGTCGAGTGTCACAGTCAAGACAGCAGCCATGGTACTGCACTTTCTCACTGAACCTCACTCGTTCCCGAGGTCCCAACTGGGGACACCTGTCTTTTTCAGGTCTGTGTGTCAGAGGCTGCAGTGAAACCTTGTCCATGTCACTGTTGGGTATGTGACAGACATCTCCATTTGGGATTCTATTGGGTCCACCAGGTAGACCTCCATTCCGTAGCAGAGTGCCATTAGTCTTTACAGGATTGGCTGTGGGCACTGACCTTGGAGGTTCCTCACACCTCACAGGTGTCAGCCGTGGGGGAGGTGGAGGGGGGTTTGGCTTTCTGAGGACAGTGAGGATGGCAGTGGGGTGTGCACGGGTCCTCATGAGTGGGACGTTGTTCTGAACCTTGATCTTCTCTATGCTGGAGGCTGTGGTGCCACTGGAGCTGCTGTTCAGAGTGTCCGTTTTGGAGCTGTCAGTCATCTCCTCCTCCAGCTGGAGGTCAGAAGTCAGGGTATCAATCTGGTCAACCACCTGGTGGGAAGGACAAGGCAAATGTGTTGAAGGATGACCCACAGGAAAATATATCAGCAGCACTGTTTTCTGTTGGAGCTTTGATTGATTCTGAGCTGTGCAATCTGTGCTGTTTGAAGTTTTCAGGCAGAATATTCATCATATAGCTACCTACAAGGCCCAGCCATCTGATAGCAACATTTCACAAGCCCAGACATCATACACTATTTACATGCACATTCTATTCCAGTCTCGCTACACCCACCAAAGACAGAACCCCAGTGCAGAAATAAGAGGATGGGCCTCTCTTCTGCTCAGTAGCTGGTAGCTACAGAAAAATATTCTTCCACACAGAAAACAAGGAGAAGTTCAGAGAAGCTTGATCTTACAATGGCTATGTTTCTGAAAACATGATTGGTATCTATTTACCAGTCTAAATCAGCTCTGCTACATCAACCTCCTTTACTCTAAAAAAAACTCTTCCCCTCAACTTTAACACATTTCTGTTTTTATTTCTGTTATCAAATCTCTCTGGTCCTTTCAGACCCTCATAGTAACCCTCTGCTTCTGCATATAATAACATTTTTACATATACTAACTTTTCTTCTTGAAATGCCCTCACCTCTCTTCTTTGTCAAATTAATTCCTCCAAATCTGTGAAATCTTAGTGGTTAGGTTCCCAATTCTACTGTAAATGTAAATAAGTTAATGGTGTTAAATATCCCCAAGGAATCTTACTTATTTAATTCAAATGATTCACATTATATGAAGGAATGTTTCCATGCAGGCCTAATCTCAGTGACAGCAGGGCCCAGGATTATGTTTCTCTACTGTATTTTAATGGCCTAAACTAGTGATGGGTGCTTAGAAAATATTTGTTAAGTAAAAGCCTGGAGGATTATTTCTTAGGTTCAAGTGCAAGCAAAGCATTTTCTTTCTTACTTAATTTTTGGAGATGTCATTACTTTAAAACCTGCTCAATTATTCTAGAAAAATCTTACCCATAAATGACCATAGGGTTGGTGACACATTCTCTGGTTCTCATTGAATATGTAGAAATTAAATTAGGAGGAACAGAGGTGCCTTAGGAGTGCTGTGCACCATTTCACTTGGACAGGTATCTACTTATGCTGACTTTTATCATATTAGTATTTGTGTCAAAGGAAAGAGAACTCTTCTACTCTGAAGGTCGGAAACTGATTTTTACAGAAATGGAAAAGCATTGACTAGAGTTCTGACTGGTTTCAGTCCTTACATTGTCATTTCTTCAGTGTCTATTAAATGCCAAGAAAATAAAGCCCCAAAGCAAACACTGCCCTCATTGAAAAGGGAATGTGGAGGAAGGGCCTGACTTTAGCTAGATCTTCAAACAGGTGACAGTTTGAAGAGGAGAGCAGGAGCCCTGATGAAGGTGAGCAGGGCCTTCTGGAAGGTGAACAAGAGCCTCCTGAGAGAAGAGGCATGGCTCAAGCATCTGCTCAGAAAGAAATGGCTCCCTGATAAAAGGAGTGGGAGAGGTTTAAAGACCTGTGGCTGCAGGGCAGTGTGAATGAGACAGGAGGTCAGAGAGTGAGGCAGCAACTGGACTGTGAGACTTTGGAGTGCATTCAGAAAATGCCATATTAAAAAAAAGAGTTCCAGAAGTGAAAGAAGCTGTATTCAAACAGAGGACTTGATATTCTAGCTAAAATACACAGAGTTTCGAAAGGAAAACATAAACCTTTACTCAAGCACACCACAGTGAAATTAAAGAACACTGAGAAATAAAACTTTTACAACAAAAGGAACCCCAGGTTCTTATAAACTAACAAAAGTAAAGCAAAGAGGCCATAACTACACAAACTGTAGACATGTTAAGACACTTTAGGAATACATTTCATAGTGAATGCAAACCACCATTATACAGTTTAATTTTTATGTAAAAGTGAGAGGAGTAGACACTTTTGTGCAATAAAGCCTGGGAGAATATACTTCTTACAGTTCAGCCCTAAAAGCACTAGTAAATAACAGTTCAGTGAAAAAGTCAAATTCACTAGAAAGAGCTGGAATGCAGGAATGTATAGGAAAATCACTAACTTTGAATCAATTAAACTTAGATCTTATTAAGCCAAGAATGCATGTGAAAAATGTATGGCCAATTACTAAAATAATAGATCGAAAATTATAACTTCCAAAATAACATAGGGAATAAAAAGTGAGTGTCAAAATTTTGATAAATCTTTAAAAGGCAGAAAATAAGGAAACTAAAAAAAGAAAATGAAAAGGCATAGTAAAAAAAAGATCACTGCATGAAGAAATAACTTAAGTATTTGTGTTATCATAACAAATACAAATAATGTCATTTGTTCAAAAATGTTCTGTCAATGAGACCCAGAAAGATTGAGTATAAAATGACAGAAATAAGATATATTAGGCAAATAACCATTTGAAGCCTGATACAGTTACATTATGAACAAGCAAAAAGATTAAGCTGAAGTCTTTCTTAAACAAAGAAACAGAAGAGTATCAATACTAACATAGGTGAACACACAAATGAAACAGAAGTTCATGCCCATGTAAATATGCAAATATACACACATACAAAAGAAAATTGGGGGAAAACAGTTTTGAAAGAACAATTCACATAAGATGAACACCAAATTTCCTAACATAATAAACATACACTCAATTTCAATGAAGAAAAATAAAATAGCATTTCAAACCTAATGGTTAGGTAAGAAAGATTTTCACAATCCCAATTGTTGGTGATGATGTGGAAAAATGAGAAATTTACAGTTGCCATCATAAAAGTAAGTTCAGCCAGTTTGCAGAACTTTTGAGCAATATCTTACAAATTGAGTAAGCTATGCATCCTTGTCACAGTTCTATAAGGAACACAGCCTATCCCCCTTTAGGGAAGCTAACAGATGTATACAGGGCTAGAAAAAAGACAGGGGTTTGATTGCATGGCTTTTCTTCATTTTCTCACTGCCAAAAATTGTGGATAATCTAAATATCTATTGTAAGTGATTAAGAAAGCAAATACTAAGTGGTTAAAATGAATTAACTATGGATGCTACCAAGATGGAAGAATAGAATCAGCCTTTGAACAATGCTGAAATACATTTAGGACACCAAAGGAAAAACTACACTATAAGAGAGAAAGAATGAACTCTGGGAACAAATAATGAAGTGATGGGAATCAAACAGCACAGAGAATTTTAGAAAACAATTCACAACTTCAACACTGGCTCCGTGTCTGGGGCAGCAAATCTGGCACTGCAAACAAAGGGGAGTGCAAACAATCCCTGTGATGACCAAAGACTGACAGTCTCAACTGTGGGAGATAGCCACAGTTCTTACAGGCTTCAGACTGATTCTAAAAGGGATTCCTGCACATCAAGTTAGCCTTAGAAGAAAAATTCAGGACATTGCTCAGCCACCTCTCAGAGGGCTGTAACTAGGAGCTGTCTTGACAAGGGTCCTATTCTTTGGTATTCAACTTCTCTGGGAATCAGCAAACCTGAGTGCATGAAATTTAGGGTCCTATTGATTGGGCAGGAGACAGGCTGGTGACACACTTGTGGTTTGGGGGACTTTTTGTCACAAATCCACTTAGAGGTTTATGCAGCAGGGAAAATGGGGCTGTAATGGGGTGGAGAGCATGGGAAGCAGTGACACTTCCCTCCATGACTAGAAGCAAAACCAGACCAGTATGGTTTCATGTGGACATAGGACAGGGTCTGAGGGCACCTGGAACACAGCTGCCCCTCCAGCACTGAGTTCAGTGTGTGATTGCTTCTTCACTCTCAGAGGCAGCTTGGACAGTCACCATGTCCTTAGGTAGACAGGGCCATCTGTACATGGCCCACACATGCTGAGGCTCAGTTGGAGGGGAGGGATAGTGGGGTTGTGACATTGGTCATGATACCAGGAGGCTGCAGACCTCTGCAGAGAACATATGCTAGCCTTGCATGCTCCACAATTTCCCAAAATGTAGTCTGTGAGAATTTTTTAAGTTCCATACTTGCCATGAAACTATGTGTGCTAAGTCAAAGGCCCCAGAGAGATTACAGCCCAGTCATATTCAACACTCCCTTAACCTGTCTGGTGAGAAGTATCTGGCACAGTCTGTGTGGTTGTGGTTGTTTTATTTGGCTTTAGCATATTTCTGTATTTTATTTGTTCTTCTTGTTGTTACTATTGTTTTCTTATTTCTGAGTGGTACTGGGAACCCAGCTTGGCTCCTTGAACATGGCAAGAGGACTCTTTGCCACTGAACTGTGCAGCATTATACACTCTGATGTCAATTGAGAGAAGCTGCATCTTACTGGAGCCACAACCTACTCCCACTCAGATATTAGTGATATTTCAACTTAAAGAATAGAGAGATAAAAGCCCCCAGCCAATAATATGGCCCTAAATAGCATAGTTATGGAGGCTTGAAGTCCCACTCCTGGCCATTGTCACTCAGAGCAGCAGGAGAGAGAAGTAATCCAACTTTTGTGGACACAAGATCTGTGAGGTTTTTACCATAACTAGCTTCCACACCCTTTCAGACTACACATTGTCAGCAAGTCTGGATATTCAAAACTGTCTACAGCACAGCTTTGAACTACCACAAAAACCTCACTTTTATGAGACTTACAGATAAAGTGGTTCCTTCATACTCTTGATACAGTACTTGCTATGTCAAAAACCTACTCATAGCCAAACAAGTCAGGGGTAAATGACACTATAAAGTCCATTTGTATATAAACTAAAGATGACACAAATAAGCAAATATCCAGCATAGGACACATCACCAAGAGAAAGTTGCTAAGAAGGCCCTCACATAAAAAGAGATATCCATCCCAACAGTTGTGTGAAATTCAACATGGAAATACAGAATGAAAAAAAACAAGGCAACATGACACCTCCTAAAGTTCATGTTTCTGGAAAATGATTTCAAACATATCATGGTAGATGAAATGCCAGGCAAAGAATTCAAAGAATGATTAATAAAAATGTCAATGGATTCCAAGTGGAAACAAATA